ATATAGGGAAATTATGTACACCATATATTAAAATCGTTATTTGCAGAGATCCTGCGTATTCTGATACTTCTGCCCTTCATATTGTATTTCTTTTCGTGTTTCCCATGTTTTTTCTCTTCATTATGGTGAATTTTCCCTCTCTAACGTCAAATCTATGTCCATTATTTGATATTTTTGCGATGACGAACGTCTATTTATATTATTATTATTATATTATTATTCCCTTGTGTTCCTAGTGGAACATAGGGCTTCAACTACACGCCTCAACTTGCTTCTGTCTTCTGCTGTACTTTTCACTTGCATCCATGTTAGTCCATACTGTTTCAACTTCTCTTCACACGATCTCCTCCATGTCATCCTAGGACGTCCCACTCGCCGCTTCCCTTTCGGGTTCCACTCGAGCAATGGCCTGACGCGCGATGTCACCCAGCGGCCTCCTCAGCGAGTGTCCAATCCATCTCCACTTTCTCCTGCATATTTGTTAAGCGATTGGTTCCTGTTTTGTTTGTTCCCATAGTTTCTTGTTGGTGATTCTTTCCGACCATCTGATCTTCAGTAGCATAGAGCGAAGACAGTTGTTGATGAAGGTGTGCAACAGGCTGTTGGAAATATTCTCTGTGACCCGCCGCCAAGTTTCTGATCCATCCGTATAGAAGAACTGACTGACTTGACGTTTGTATTGAAAATCCGAATCATTTTGTTGTTGATGCTGATAAATCTTGTCAGTAGCGAATGCTACACTATAACCAAATTGAAGAAACCGACATACCGAAAAGTTTTTGAATACACAGTTTAGGCTTGCGTTCACGTAGCTGGTTTGTACTTTGGCTTTACATAAGTAGAGAAAATTCTAGACTTTTACAAATAACTGGATTTAGCCCTGTAGATAACTGTAAAAGATAAATGACGCTGGGTTGAATGATGACCTGACTCAATAAGGTGTTCACAGATGTTTGAAATCACCACCCTATATGATATGGGACTCGAACCCAGGACCTTCCGGTTACAAGCAGCAAGTCAAGCTCGTATACCATTCAGCCACCGGGACCTAACTCCTTGGCCAACCCATGAATGCTAACTTCTACCAATTCGTTATTTTATCGCGACTGACACCAATCAACGTCATCGTTGTCGAGTATTTTTTATCACTCCCGACTGGGTGGTGGACCTCGCTCGCCATAACTTCTCAAGATAAATTCAGTCAACATCGTCCTGCAGCCAATGACTAATGAACATCAGGTCCTGGGTTCGAAACCCGGTGGGTGAGTACTAGTGATGAGTCCCATACAAGGACGAAACAGCTGTCCAGTACAAAAGTGAATGTAGGCAATGATAATGCTAGATTATAAAAGTAGGTTTATAAGCTTCTTTTCTGACATTTCTCTCACTTCACACAGTGCCCGTACTAAATAAGTTGGTGGGTTGAATTTTTTCCATTTCGTCGTACGAGCATAAATTCTTTTAAAATTGATACTACATTTCTCTGAAGGGATATAAGAAAACTGATGACACTAATATTGGGTCTGAATGTTCTTTATCTTCTTTTCTGTTTCACGCATATCTATTCAACTTTTATTGATTTATTCAAATTTATAATTAATCTTTACTAATGTATATAAACGAAGGAAGAAAATTGTGTGAGTGCCTTGATATGATTATGAGTCGCAATAAATTGTGTGAAATATTCCCATATCATGAATTAAAGTCAATCTGAACGAAGAATATTCTTTTCGATAATTTCTCTCCTTCAGGTTCTTACAATTACATAAAACATCATAATATTTGTTGTCGTTACCATAATGATAGCCAGTTATGCAGCGGATACATTTTTTTAGGTAGCATAACAGATTAGTAGTTATGTGATGTCAAAATAAATAGTCGTATTTGTGTGACAAACGTGCTAGTTGGCTGAAATCGATTACAAAATATTGTAAAATGTGAGCCATTGGTGGGTGGTGATTAGTCATCATAATAGACTCATACAATGTGGGGTGGCGTAGGAATAATTGACAAGTCAGTTCAAAGTTATAAAAGTTGTCAGGTGATTGAGTGGCTAGTACAAAGTAGTATGTATTTAAGAGGTGGGGATAGTAAGACTGCAATGAGAGGTTCATAATGAAATAACGAATGTGTGAAATGAAACAGGTGGAGGCATATATTGAGAGAAGAGATAATATCATTAATAATAAGCCCGGATAGTATTTTAGAAGCTAAAGGTATTGACGTCCATGGATAGTACGAAGTATACTAACGCAAGATCTAATATCCACAACTTCTATAGTATTCTTTCCGCGTAGACCAAAGGTAAAGCAAAACACCAGAATTGACCGTCCAAATTACGAGTTATATTTCAGGACCAAATCGGAGTGCGAGACGATTGCTTAACTAGCTAGGGATCGTGCACGAACGAACGAACGTAACACGGCAGCGTACCAGACGGCGTGGATGCTTGAACAATAATGAAAAAGATTAAGGAATCTAAAGAGGATTTAATACGTAGAATGAAGTTGTCACTGGGTGAGTCTAAATGGTTTAATTTAATGACTAAAACTAATAATTTAATTGAATTTTAGATTTTCCCGTCGATTGATCGGACCGAAGTGCCCCGCCTCAGGTTGACATGTCAGTCGGCTTCTTGTGCAGATGCTTCGACGATGTTTGGGCATGTAATTAGAATTTAATTGGTGGATGGTGACAAGCAGTGACGGAATCCAGGATAATGTGCATTTCGTCCTGCTTGGGACTCGTCATCTGCATGTGCCTGCATTCCGCAGTGAGTGGTGATGTTCCCACCGAGGCTCGAACCCAGGGCCCATAGTTTCAAACGCCAAAGCGTGTTATCCACTAGACCACTTGGGCCACGAGAGCCGCCACCTCTTGTGCAACGGGTCATATCAATCGACGGGAAAATCTAAAATTCAGCCCCACGATTGCCCATAAGGTTTAATCTTCCCCATAAGTAATCGTTTATAAACAGTTGAAATGAGAGTCACCGAATCAGTTGAAACAGAGAAAAAAGTAGTGTTTCTCGTTGGTCAATTTAAAATATATATCACGCAATGTAACTGTTAATAATCACCTTAGAGGGGGGGTGACATTCTTACTGGAGTAGTAGAATTCAAAGAAAAAAACTGGCTCCAAAGCAGTTAAATTTCCTGAATGTTTCTCCGAGGAAACCTATTACCATTGCTCTGCTTACATTCCTTGGTTTCTAAGGAGCGCCTACAGTTGCAATTTAAAAACTAGAATGCATAGGTTTTTATGGATTGATTGTTTCTTCCACGAAACGTATCCTTTGTATTAGTCTGAACAACAACTGTTGCTTTTCTTTTTAAGAACTTAAAGGTAAAGCGCCAAACTGGGTGAAGCCGACCTGGAACTGGCTATAAGAGCTATTGGAATTATGTGGCGGCCCTTTAACGTTACGAAGGAACAATGTAAGTTATTCACACAATGTATATTGCTAAAATTTTGCTTTCTATTGAATTGCTGGAATCATATTGAAAGTTCTTGCAAAACGTTAACATATTGTACTCTACGGAAGGCCATGTATTTGTTTGAATTTTATCGCCTGTGATATGTATCACTTAAAGAATAGTGTATAAACTTCTTATACTTTTACCGCATCTTTACTTATTTCAGTACCACGTTTCGCTGAAACAATGTGTTTTTTGAATATCGTTATGACGCAAGGTGGGAAGAAGAATGCTCAGGTTGCCTGTCTAGCCACTGCCATAGCAATTTTCGCGAAGTAAGCGTCTCACCTTTTCAAAACCACCTTTTAAATGTATATATATATATATATATACATTTGAAGTAATTTGGAAACTACTCAAGTACTACGGCGTACCCCAAATATTCATCAACCTTATTCAACAGCTGTACGACAACGGCACATGTCAAGTGATCCACAACGGAAAACTCAGCGAGGCGTTTGCAGTAAACACAGGAGTCAGACAAGGGTGCTTATTATCACCAATGATATTCCTAATTGTGGTGGACTGGATTATGCGTCAGACAGTGGGAAACGAGAAGACAGGGATATCCTGGACCGACGTGAAGAACCTAGAAGACCTGGATTTCGTGCGTGGATGATTTATGTTTGATGTCACACAAAATCGAAGACTTACAAGCGAAAACCGACAAACTGGTCGAAGAAGCAGCCAGAGAAGACAGGACTCCAGGTGAACATAGACAAGACGGAGGTTATGAAAATAACCAACAACAACAACAGCAGCAACATCCAGCGCCAATCACCATCAACGGGAGGGATTTGAACGAGGTTACTTCATTCACTTATCTAGGTAGGGAGCATTGTCTCAACTACAGGAGGAACGGACGAGGATGTCAAATCGAGAATCGGGAAGGCGAGAAACACATTCATCAACCTGAAACCAATCTGGAAATCTTCGTCACTCAGCATCAACAACAAAATGATTCGGATTTTCAATACAAACGTCAAGTCAGTCACTTCTTCTATACGGATCAGAAACTTGGCGGGTCACAAAGAATATTTCCAACAGCCTGTTGCAGACCTTTATCAACAGCTGTCTTCGCTCTATACTGAAGATCAGATGGCCGGAAAGAATCACCAACAAGAAACTATGGGAACAAACAAAACAAGAACCAATCGCTCAACAAATATGCAGGAGAGAAGTGGAGATGGATTGGACACTCGCTGAGGAGGCCGCTGGGTGACATCGCGCGTCAGGCCATCGCTCGAGTGGAACCCGAAAGGGAAGCGACGAGTGGGACGTCCAAGGGTGACATGGAGGAGATCGTGTGAAGAAGAGTTGAAACAGTATGGACTAACATGGATGCAGGTGAAAAGTACAGCAGAAGACAGAAGCAAGTGGAGACGTGTAGTTGAATCCCTATGTTCCACTAGGAACCCAAGGGAATAATAATAATAACATATATTATGAGTGTATGACTTCCTTTGTATGTTTATGGTGCTATCTTCAAACATCACCTATCGTAATTTAATGAAAAAATAAATATTTAACTGATAATCATTTAATTAATAAATGATATATAAACATTTATATTATACACTCCGGTTTTTATTTTTATAACAATCGTACATTGTGAATTATTTATTGCGTTTGAATACTTGTTCCCACCAATCATTCTGAAATTTACACCACATAACCTCCAGCTGACCATTCGGCTGCCTATAAGCGGCAAGAAAAAGTAAAAAATGAAGTACTTGATTTACGAAAGATCTGGGAAGTTACCTGGAAATTATTACCAAAAAATAAAAAAGGCGTAGAGTGATGTGTATCCTGTCTCAAACGCATTTGCAGAAAATGAATGAAATATTTTTGTTTACACACGTGGTGTGTTTAAAGAAAACTATGTTCACTGAAACGCTGACCTCAGAAATTGAAATCACACTTCTGACTAAAATGAAATAAACAACACTGTGTTGAGGGGCATGCTTTGAGTCATGCAATAGAATTGAGTCCTAAGGTCGGTCGGTTTTCGACATAGAACTTTGCACCGATGTGCGGCAGTTCAAGTCGCCACACTCCTCCCATGTAGCACACAAAGCAAGAGAAGAAAGTAGGAGAAATGCATAATAGAGACAGTAAACAGAGGTGTGAGACAAAGGAATAGTAATAACGAAGAACAAAACAGTTTCATTGGAAATCATAAGTCACAAGGAGTGGATGCATCTGCGCCAGCCATTGAGAACGATTTTGAGCCATGTCACCAATTGTTTCCAACCATTGGTTTTTACCGTCCCGAGGACCCCAACCAGGAAGTCTACACCTTCCTACGTGGCTTAGACTAACTGTTGTAGATTTCATTGACTGGTGCCATGTTTTGGTTTGACCGCCGCTAGCTCTTTTCCAGCCTGACCCTATATCAGCTAACATTGCCCATTGTCGAGGAAGGCGATGACTAGGCAGATATGCGTAACACATGTCCTAACCATCTCAGTCGATGTAACTTCACAGCCTTGTCGATTGATTTCCCCTCCTTACCTAGCACTCGACGCCTAACCTCAATATTGCTCACCCTATTATACCACTTCACACGGGAGATAGAACGCAGGCACCTATGATCAAAGACAGCTAGCTAGGCTTTTCATGTCTTCCACTCTCAATGGCCAGGTCTCACAGCCATAAAGGAGGACGGAGCGGACTGATGAGCAGTACACCGGCCCTTTGGTCGACAGCCAGCCGGATATCACGTCTACGCCAGAGACGGCGTTAACTGGCATATGTGAAACTAGCCCTCTGTATCCGTGCTGAGATTTCGTCAGAGATCAACCCGTTGGCGTAGGCTGATGGTACTTCCCAAATAAGTGAAGCGGTCAACGTGCTCTACCACTTCACTTCCTATTTCTAATCTAGGGGTTGGTGTAGTGCGATCCTGCAACATCATCTTACATTTGTCGGGAGCGAATCGCATGCTAAACATTCGTAGATTGGAGCTGAAGGTGTTCAGAAGACTCTGCATTTTGTCAGCGTCTTCACCTAGAAGGACTATATCGTCTGCATATTCTAAGTCAACGAGATTATTCCCTGGTAGCAAGTCAATCCCTGAGTCTCTGAAGTGAGTTAGGGTTAAGTCCATTAGTATGTCTATGATGAAATTGAATAGAAATGGGGATAATGAGCATCCTTGATGGACGGTGGAGTCCTAAGGCGGAAAATTCCCTACTCGGTTGGTTTCCAGTAGATGGTTGTATGTCTACTGTCCATCTGAACGAATCAGTTGAAAGGAAAGATCCACTGATGTCTTCTCATAATTTCCGCTTACGCCTCAACCGACTGCAGTTCGGACGAAATAAGCGCTGACCACTATCAAAAAAACGAAAAAGCAAAACGCTCAGTTACAGGCGACTTTAATGCTCAAGTAGGGAAGGGTATGCCCAACCCACAAAGTTATAGGCTATCGTTGGTAAGGGTGTCGGTAGAAGACTGCCGCTTTTACCGTAACACGTGCGTAGGCTCTGACCACGCCCTGGTCTCCGCTGATTTATGCTTACAATTGTGAAGGGGCATAAAAAAGCACTGAAGCCTTTACGGCCTCAACTTGATCAGGACACTGAGTCCCTACTTAAGGAGGAAATAGAAAAACGAGTATCTGAGGTCGACAGCAAGACTCTTCCTGAGGAAACCTGGCATATCATACAGTTAGCTTTAGGTAGACACAGCTGTAAAGGCTGTTAATCGCCTAAAAAACCAAAAGCCAATGGATTTCTACCACCTCATCCGAACTGATTGACGCAGGAAGACGGATCCCGGAGAGCTCCGAACATGATGAGGAGCGAAAGCTGCTCAAACACAAACTAACAAGAAGTCTTCGTAACGACTGTGAACAGTGATGGGTGACATTAGCGAAAGAGATGGAAAAGGCATTGGTGATTGGTAACACCAGACAACTATTCAGACTTATCAGGTGGGAAAAGGCAAATGATAGGTGCGATGATCGGCGAGAAAATAATGGCTCCATAAATTACATCAGAATAGACGATTGGAAGGAATACTTTGAAGAGCAATTTAACTGGCCTACAGTCATACTCAACTTACCCAGCAACTAACACCTCCCTGAATGGGACATTAAAACACAGTTCCTCCGCCCTTAATTGAGGTTAAAAAAGCTGTCACTAATCTGCGCAACAGTTCATCCTGTCCTGCTTTGTGGTTGTGAGACATGGCTTATGAAAGTGGGAGACACGAAAAGACTAGTTATCTTTGATCATAGACGTCTGAGCTTTATTTACCGTGTTAAATGGTATAATATGGTAATATTGAAATTAGGCGTCGAGTACTGGAAAAAGACGAAAAGTCAATCGATGGGGTTATGAAACTACATAGATGATGAGATCGTTAGGACATGTGATACGCATGTCTAGCCATGTTACGTTAACCGACATAGGATCAGGTCGGGAAACAGCTAGTGGTGGTGGTCAAACCAGAACCTGGCACCAATCCTTCGACTGTTGGAGCCATGTAGGGAGGTTTATGCTTCCTAGTTGGGGTTCTTGGAATTCTAAGAACCAATGACAGGTGATATGACCCAAATTTGTTCTCAGCAGTACAGATGCATTGATTCTCTGTGATTCCCAAAGTCCATTAAACCTTAATGTTTCTTCATGTTACCGTTTTTTCTTCTTCATTTTTCTGCTTAGAACAACCCTTTTAATGTAAGTGTGTAGAACTTGGGTACTTCGGTAGAATGTAATTCCATATTAGGGAGGTTTATTTTAAATATCACACAGTGATGTGATATTAAAAGTAAGTCATTTACAGTTATACCATATAAAGAGGGGATATCTGAGACCCTACGTAGGATTCTAAATAAAGCAGGATTTAGGGTGGCATTTAAACCTACAAACTCACTCAGGTAGCACAAGCTCTGTAGGTTAAAGGACCCTGTCGGTTGACCCAATTGGACAAAATAATATAATTTACAAAATACCCTGCAACGACTGTGAGTTAGGTCAACTACATAGGTCAAACTAGTAGGTGGGGAGTAATCAGATTGTTGGAACATAATAATTTAGCCAAGGTAAGAATGGTTGACCCAGAGAAGATAAGTTATTTAGAAAAAAGCTCAGCACTACATTGCACTGCATGCATTAACACACAACCACACAATCTAGTGGGTGGGAGAGGGTTAAAATTCTAAAAAGTAATCTAGGTAGGTGGAGAGAGAGGTTGATTACTGAATCCTTGTTCATCGAATCTACACCCAACACATGCAATAGGAATGATTCCCCATACAAATGAATTTAGGAAGTCGTGTGAGTAATGCCTTGATATGATTATGAGCAATAAATTGTGCTCGAAACGTCATCAGTAAACATTACTGTATAACAACACTGTGAGACTTTATCAAAACAAAATTTACCCATAATGGAAAATAATGAAAAATTTCAGGTACTGGTGAATAATGGAAATATATACGAGTTACTCGATACTTGTGTTATTAAGCATTTCTCTAAATTTTGATGCTGAATTGACTTATATTTGATAAGACTCTTATAGCTAGCCCCCCCCCCCAAGTTATTATCTACTTTTTTTCAACTCCCCGTAACTGCAAAACATTTCTTCACATCTGCTAGAGGTTTTTGTGATGTATATGGAAACAAGACAACTGAACTGGGATCACACTAAGCGGAGCTGTGTTTTTTCGATCTGTGGTGTGTTCTCGAGTTCTGACCACATGGTTGGTCATGAGTTCGAACCCTGTCATACACCTACCGAGGTTTGAGCAGCTACACAGTAACCACTGTCACTCTCAACTTAAGAAAAATAAAGGCTGACTGAGTTCCAACACAGAAGTGCATCAATTCCGAACTGCTACACTCTTTAATATACCAAACAGAAGCGGAGAAATAGATTCAAGCGGAATGTAATAAGAGCAGAAATATGCGAGGGAAAGAACAGCCAAAAATTGAAAAAACATGACAGTTTAGTTTATATATGTGAGACCACGAAGGGTAGATGCATCTGTGCCAATGAGAAAGATTTTGAGCCATAGCACCCAATAGTCTTCAGTCATACATAGGTTACGAGGACTAGAACCAAGCAGTGTACACCTACTCATATGGCTGGCTTAGAACAAACTGTCAAGGACTTTATGGACTGATGACAGGTTTCTTGTTAGCCGTTAGTTGTTAACTCTTTTGCAACCAAATCCAAAGTTAGTTAGTTAACATTACTAGTCGAGGAACGCGTGTCCTAGCTATCGCAATCGATCTATCCTCACAATTACATATGTCTGTCTGTCTGGATTCAACATAGAACTTGGCACCGAAGTGCAGCAGTTCGAGTTGCCACGCTCCAAATAGCACACAAAGGTAGACAAGAAAATGAGTGATGAAGAGAATCAATAGAGTTTTGACAAGTAGAAGAGTGAAACAGAATGAGTAATGGTAGAAAGGAATATGAAAGATTACAGAGACTTAATACATCTGCGTAAGCCATTGACAACGATTTTGAGCCATGTCACCTATTGTCTCCAGCCATTGATTCTTAGAGTCTCGAGGGCCCCAACCCGGAAGTCTGCATCTCCCTACCTGACTCAGTTTAACTGTCAAGGATTCCATGGGTTGATGAGGTCATGTTTTTGTTTAGCCACCACTTACTCTTTTCCAACCTGCACCACCTATATCAGCTAGTAATGCCCGTCCGTCGGGGGAGGCGATGGTTAGGCATGAGCAGCACGTGACCTAGCCATCTCAATCCATGTAACTTTATAGCCTCTTCGATTGAAATTCCCTCTTTGCCCAACACTCTACGCCTAACGTCAACATTACTCACCTTATTATACCACCACCTAACGTGAGAAAGAGATCGTAGACACCTATGATCAAAAACAGTCAACCTTTTCATGTCTCCAACTCGTATTGGCCATGTTTCAGAGCCATAGAGAAGGATGGAGCGAACTGCTGAGCAGTACACACGACTAACTTCCTTTCGTTACTCAGCACTTTATGCCTAGCTAGTCTCGCTATTACCCACCACATTTTACCACTTAACACGAGAGAGATAGAATATAAACACGTGGTCAGAGACAGCTGTTTTTTTTTCTCATACCATCTCCCACTCTTAATGACCATGTCTCACAACCACAAAAAGGAGTACAGAGCGAACTGCTGTGCATTACACATGTTGGGCGGCTAGCCGGATATCAATCAAATCCACATAATAGATGACACGCCTGATGAATTAAACATGAAAAATGAAACGCTTTCAGAGAGAGAATAATAATACAAACTTAAAACCACTATTCCATATTCAAAGTTAATATGCTTACCTGCGGTGACTCTATAAATGAAAGCCAATCTGAAGCGTATGTAGGAAGTAAACCCATAGTGTGACATTTATACATAGCAAGAGCCAGTATGACAAGGTTACCAAGAACATATACACAACATTGTATTGTAGCCTGACTCCCTTCTATAAGGTTGAATGCTGTTCACAGGAAAATTGAGAGAAAAAAGAATCACTTATGGAGATTTATAAAAGTTAATCAAAAAGATATGCGCCTTAATATGTTGCAACGGCTTTTCATTGAGAAAAAGCTTTTGCAGTGCTGGATAAAACATCTAACAACTGATTCATAAGTAAAAACACAGTTTCCTTTTTGTTCAGCGAAGAAATTTCTTTTCAACGACTTCATTTTTAAGCTGTACAGTCGTATTTATATTACAGAAAAGGTCATTAAGTGGCACTAAATAATTGCCCAGTCAATATACATATATGTGATAAGAATAACGATAATTAAAATGTTATAAGGGGTAGAGTTGAAGTGGATAAATTACAAAATTATTAAAGATTGTTTTATACGTGAATTGAAATCAAAAATGTTTTGAAAATGTCAAGTGTTGTCTAAAAATTAAAAAAAAAATTAGGAGTACGATTACGATAAGAATGAAGATGTGAAGTGAAGTGGAAAGAATTCAAGTGGTAAAATAAAAACTAGAAAGAACATTACTATGACCAAGGTAAAGAAAGGGGTTTGACAAAACGTTTTTGAACACACAATTTAGGTTTCTGTTTATGTATAGCTAAAGCTTCGGCTGTACATAAGTGAAGAAAACGTAAACTTTTGGATCGATTCGATTTTGCCATGGAGATAACTTTGAAAGATGAATTACGTGGGGCTAAATGACCTGACTCTAACAGGTGATCACAAATAAACGACTTCGCAGTTCTACGTTCGCCTTTCATTAACCAGACTGGATAGTGTTCAGCTACACGTTTTCGGAGATTACGCTTACAACGTCCAATATAAACAGCTCCACAAGAGCAGGTAAAAAAGTAAATACACATAGATGTGGGCAAAAGCGGTAATCTATCCTTGACGCATGGCCAAACATATTTCGGCTGGTAAGAACTAGTTGCAAGTCAGCTGCAGGAAAAGTGCGTTTAATACATTTAGATAAACGATTTTTGATCAATTCCGAGTGCGTCGGCGGCATAGCGGTTAGGACGCTCGCCGACCATGCACATGGTTGGAGGTTCGATCCCCCGCCGACGCACTCCTTTACCTCGCTAAGCCAGAAATAATGCTGGTGAAGAGGAAAGGTTGGGCATGAGGCTAGTAACCCCATCCTGTAAAATAAACACTGCTACAGAAACTTCAAGCCACTAGTTTGAGGCCCTATGTTCCACTGTGGAACGTGAAGGAGAAAAAAAAATCAATTCCGAAATGGTGTCACCTTTGAATGCCAGACTCATAAACAGTTTTTCCTTTGGCACTGTGATTTGTCTAGGGGCGGATTCTTTCTTGATGTTACGTTCGATAAACCTTGTAGGATAACCATTGTTAAGGAGATTTGATCGAAGGTTATCTAGTTCACTATCGATTGTCTCTGCAGAGCAGATTTTACGAATTCTGGAGCATAAGGAATGAATAATAATTTTGTAATTTATCCACTTCAACTCTACCCCTTATAACATTTTAATTATCGTTATTCATATCACATATGTGTATATTGACTGGGCAATTATTTAGTGCCACTTAATAACCTTTTTTTCTGTAATATAAATACGACTGTACAGCTTGAAAATGAAGTCGTCGAAAAGAAATTTCTTCGCTGAACAAAAAGGAAACTGTGTTTTTACTTATGAATAAATGGGTATTTTTCGTGATTTAACAACTGATTGTTTCCTAGTCATGATTTTCTTTTCATTGATCCAACTATGAAACCACTAAGAGCTATTGGATGGTGAAGTTAAGGTCGTAACTTAAACTGAGGAGAGCAGCCAGTTCCTATCAAACTTTGATGGAAAAAAATAGTGAAAGACCGCACTTTATAGCGTCAGACATGTAGTTTTCTACTCTCCTTTTCCTCTTTTGTTTTCCACCTTTTTTTCACTTATTGTAGTACATGGAAATGTGTGTACTGTAATAATAATGTTAGCACCTATCCTACTTTTTATATGTTTGATGTCACACAAAATCGAAGACTTACAAGCGAAAACCGACAAACTGGTCGAAGAAGCAGCCAGAGAAAACAGGACTCCATGTGAACATAGACAAGACGGAGGTTATGAAAATAACTAACCAACCAACAACAACAACAGCAGCAGCAACATACAGCGCCAATCACCATCAACGGGAGGGATTTGAAAGAGGGAGCATCGTCTCAACTACAGGAGGAACGGACAAGGATGTCAAATCGAGAATCGGGAAGGCGAGAAACACATTGATCAACCCGAAGCCAATTTGGAAATCTTCGTCACTCAGCCTGTATCAACAACAAAATTCGGATTTTCAATACAAACGTCAAGTCAGTCAGGTCTTCTATACGAATGGATCAGAAACTTGGCGGGTCACAAAAAATATTTCCAACAGCCTGTTGCAGACCTTTATCAACAACTGTCTCCGCTCTATGCTGAAGATCAGATGGCCACCGGAAAGAACAAGAACCAACAAGGAACTATGGGAAGAAACAAAACAAGAACCAATCACTCAATAAATGTGCAGGAGAAAGTGGAGATGGATTGGACACTCGCTGAGGAGGCCGCTGGGTGACATCGCGCGTCAGGCCATTGCTCGAGTCGAACCCAGCCGAAAGGGAAGCGGCGAGTGGGACGTCAGTGCAAGGGTGACATGGAGGAGATCGTGTGAAGAGGAGTTGAAACAACATGAACTAACATGGATGCAAGTGAAAAGTACAGCAGAAGACAGAAGCAAGTGGAGGCGTGCAGTTGATGCCCCATGTTCCACTAGGAACCCAAGGGAACAATAATAATATTATTATATTATTATTTCCTTTAATTCCTAGAGGAACATAGGGCTTCAGCCATGCGTCTCCATTGCGTTCGGTTCTCTGCTGTAGTTTTCACCTGGCTCCAAGTCTGCCCACACGCTTTCAATTCCTCTTCACATGATCTCCTCCAGGTCACCCTTGGACGACCAACTCGTCGCTTCCCTTTCGGGTTCCACTCGAGGGCTTGTCTAGTGATGTCACTTGCTGGTTTCCTCAGAGTATGTCCAATCCATCTCCATTTCTTCCTGCCTATTTGTTTCACGATCGGTTCCTGGTTGGTTCGCTCCCAGAGATCTTTGTTGCTGATCCTCTCCGGCCATTTGATCTTGAGTATTGAGCGAAGGCATTTGTTAATGAAGGTCTGTAGCTTGTTTGAGCTGCTCTTTGTGACACGCCAAGTCTCTGATCCGTATAGTAGTACTGACTTCACATTGGAGTTGAAAATACGGATCTTATTTTTGACGCTGAATGCTGTTGACCTCCACATAAACTTGAGAGAAATGAAAACTTGTCTTGCTTTTCCGATTCTGGCTTTGATATCCTCGTCAGTTCCTCCTGTAGTTGAGACGATGCTTCCCAGGTAGGTGAAAGAAGTTGTTTCCTTCAGGTTCCTCCCATTTATGCTGATTGTTGTCGGTTGTTGCTGTTGATGTTGGCCAGGAATCTTCATTACCTCTGTTTTGTCTATGTTCACTTGAAGTCCTATCTTTGCTGCTTCTTCTGCCAATTTGTTGCTTTTCACTTGCATATCTTCCAGTTTGTGGGAAATCAGACATATATCATCGGCGAAATCCAAATCCTCCAAGGCTTTTGTGTCGGTCCATTTTATGCCTGTTCCCTCGTTGGTTGCCGTTGTCTGCCGCATTATCCAATCAACTGCAATCAGGAAGATCATTGGTGACAGTAGACAGCCTTGTCTCACTCCCGTCCTCACTTCGAAGGATTCCGTGAGCCTCCCGTTGTGGATTACTTGGCATGCAGCGTTGTCATACAGCTGTTGGATGAGATGTATAATTGTCGGCGGCACCCCGTGGTAGCGAAGTAGTTGCCAAATCACCCCTCGATCGACGCTGTCGAAGGCTTTCTCAAAATCGATGAAGTTGAGATAGAGAGGTGACTGCCATTCCAAACTTTGTTCAATGATAATCCGTAGGGTGGCGATTTGGTCAATGCATGACTTGTTCCTCCTGAATCCGGCCTGTTCCGGACGAAGTTTTTCATCTAGGGCTTGTTTAATTCTCTCCAGGATGATGCGACATAGTATCTTGCTTGGAATGGACAGAAGCATAATTCCACGCCAGTTTCTACATTGACTCAAATCTCCTTTCTTTGGCAGTTTGAATAAGTATCCGTTCTTCCAATCCTCGGGTACTTTGCCCTCTTTCCACACCTTCTCTAGTAGTGGCGTCATCAAGTCCGCTGTTGTCTCTGGGTCTATTTTCAAAGCTTCTGCTGGGATTCCATCTGGTCCTGGCACTTTCCCAGCTTTTAGCATCTTGATGGCATTCAGGACTTCGGATTTCGTCGGAGGGTCGATGTTCATTGGTAGTTCTGCTTCCGTTGTTGGTATTGTTGGGCGCGTTGTAGGTGGCGGACGATTTAGAAGTCTTTTGAAGTGTTCAGCCCAGTGCTTCCTCTGTTCCACCTCTTTGGTGATTGACTTTCCATTGTCGTCCTTTATTGGCTTAATCTGTGTCGAACTTTTGCCCGAAAGGTGCCTAGTTGTTTGGTATAGTGTAGCGAGGTCTCCTTTGCCTGCAGCCTGTTCTGCTTCGTTTGCCATGGTTTCACAATATTTTCTTTTGTCTTCCCTGGCACTTTTCTTCACTCTTTTGTTCAGTGCATTGTAGCTTGCATTCAACTCCTGTTTCTGTTGCTCGTCGGTGCACTGGATAATCTTTTGTTTCGCCACCCTTCTCTCTTCTATTAGTTTCCAAGTGTCCGTAGAGAGCCACTGATTGTCCTGTCTCTTTTTTCTGCCTAGGACTTCCATGCAGGTTTGACTCCACACCGTTTTCAATTTGTTCCAGTGCTTTTCGACGCTGACCTTTTCGTTGGTGTTGATTTGTGTCTCGGCTTTTTCCCTTATGTTTGCAATAATAATAATATACTTTTATAATAGAATACGAAGCAAACTGAATTCTTCTGATCAGTCTTTCAATCGACACTATCAGACGCCAAAGAAACAGTGTGGCGTGAGTTTGATATATATATATATATTGGAGATTCCTACGTTTACATAGTAATTTACCACAACTTTATTTTCAATCCTTTCTTAATCATACTTAGATTCTATCGCAACTATTGACAGACTCACCACACACACACATTGGTATTTTACTATACATTTGTACTTTATCAAAATGCTCAAACCCTACACACACACACTATAATGAAGGTCTCTAAGTACCACAACTAATGGTTAGCCCAGGTGTGTGTTGACACTATGCTTGAGATCATATTACCTTGTCCTTTTGAAATACACTCTTCGTAACACTTGTCACTCAAAATGCTTCTGCTCAACTTGCAATTACCATAACTTGGTAGGTTGAAAGGATCTTAATGAGTAATTTCAGTGTATCCACACGCTACTCAGCTTTTAGATATAACAGTGGGATTGTGTTCCCACCTTATGTTCAACAAGTTACGAATAAAATACATTTGGCGGCAGAGCATCTCACATTTATTTGGTCTCCCTAGGAACTATCAGAGTACCATTTCGTTAACTGAGTACATTTAATTTGTGCTAATCTACTTATCTTTCTTGTGTGTGAAATATTATCCTTTCACGATTTGTTCCGCATAAAATATTCTTCCTTTATATCATAAGTACATACTGAAGGTTGTAAGCAGTGCCCATCTGACCACACACTAAGTCCAAATACTCCCCTGCGACTTCCTTAAGAAGGAGCCAATATACGCGCCTCTGAACACCGTGAAATGAGAAAATGCATTTTCCAATTTATTTATACGGTCAGGAGTGGCATGTGGCTAATTCTAAGAGTTTATGCTCATCGAATTATTATAGAAACTCATTTCCAAACACAGAGTTACCTAAAAAATCCATACACCTAGATGGAACTTACCCACTGTCTGATCACATAATGAGTCCTACAAACTATATATATTGACATTGACTATATACATAATATGAACAAAAAGCGTGTAGCTACCCAAATATTAAAAAAAAAACATGCTTACTGTTCTGAGCAGAAAATAAGGCTTGTAAAGGACGTAAAAAGAGCATAATAACGGACATCAGAGGGAATATCGAAATTGAACTTCCTGAAATCCACATGATAAAAAGGTTCATTGGAACTTGGCGGAACGGTCCTAATGCAATGTTCCAACTTCTTTGACGCATAAGATGTGGGTCTGAGTCACGAACTGCGGTAGCCGGAAATGAACGATCAACATAACCAGGAGGATGTTTCAATTCTGGAGCACTAGTGGGAATTGGAGCCGCAGTACGTGGTCTGTGCATAGATAATAATTAGTAGATGGGAAAGCATACCTGGAATTGAAATCCAAAGCCCATTTTCTGGATAAGAAGTTGTAAACACTATTTTCATCGAAAGATATACACGTCGTCATCTTTTAGAATTGCGGATAACAAGGTTCAGTTGAGTCTTTGTAAACACAATAGATTTCTTTTACAAAATATTCTGAAGGAGAATAACATTACAAAAGAACTGGTAACTTTATAACATAGGCAGTATGTATATTATGAAAGTAACATTTCAGAATTATCGAGCCACTCATGTTATTCCTTTAGAGTTAAGCCGCAAGAGGATTGATGCAAGAAGACTGATTCCGGCGAGCTCCGATTATGATGAGGATCGAAAGCTACTCAAACGAAAACTAACAAGAAGTCTTCGCAACGACCGTGAACAGTGGTGGGCTACAAAAGCGAGAGATGGAAAAGGCATCGGTGATTGGTAACACCAGACAACTATTTAGGCTTATCAGGGAAACAGGTGGTAAAAGGCAAACGACAAGTGAAACAATCTCTGAGAACAATGGCACCACAATTAGCTCCCAGGATAGATAACTGGACCACTGGAAAGAACACTTTGAGGAGCAATTCAATTGGCTTGCAGCCACACTCAACTTACCGAACATCCAACACCTCCCTGAATGGATAATAGACACAGGTCCTCCGTCCCTAACTGAGATTACTAAGGCTGTCACTAGTCTGAAACGAGGGAAAGTAGCAGGACCTGATGGAATGACTCCAGAAGTATTTAAGTACGGTAGAGACATAGCGGTTAGGACGCTCGCCGACCATGCACATGGTCCGGGGTTCGATCCCCGGCTGACGCACTCCTTTACCTCGCTAAGCCAGAAATAATGCTGGTGAAGAGGAAAGGTTAGGCATGAGGCTAGCAACCCCATCCTGTAAAATAAACACTGCTACAGAGACTTCAAGCCACTAGCTTGAAGCCCTATGTTCCACTGGGGAACGTGAAGGAGAAAAAAAGAGAGTTTACTGTCTGCATTAAGTGAGGTATTAGGCAGCATCTGGGAATCAGAGGAAGTCCCATCGGTTTGGTGTAAGTCACTGATTATCCCCATATAAAAGAAGCGAGACAAGTCTTCCTGTGATAGCCACAGAGGGATTAGTTAGACTAATATAGTATCTAAAGTCCTAGGCTTAATAATATTGCGTAGACTAAGTGGTGCTTGGGAGGCACAAACACGAGAGAACCAGGCAGGCTTTAGACCAGGAAGAGGGTGTATTGATCATATCTTCACCCTTCGACAGATTCTAGAACATAGGCATTCTTACCGGCGTCCAACAATCATTATATTTCTTGACCTAAAGGCGGAATTCGATTCTGTCGACCAAGAGCTACTCTGGCGATGCTTGGCTGTAAAGGGAATGCCGAAAAAATACATTGCACTGATCAACGCACTCTGCTCAAACTCATGCAGTCAGCTAGGTGAGAGCTTACGGCGAGTTCTCATCTGAAGTGGTGACAACTAGTGGTGTCCATCAGGGATGCCCACTATCCCCATTTCTATTCAATTTCATCATAGATGTACTGATGGAATTAACCCTAACTGACTTCAGAGACTCAGGGATTGACTTGCTACCAGGGAATAATCTTGTTGACTTAGAATATGCAGATGATATAGTCCTGTTAGGGGAGGATGATGACACAATGCAGAGTCTTCTGAACACCTTGAGCTGCAATCTACGAATGTTTGGCATGCTATTCGCTCCAGACAAATGTAAGATAATGCTACAGGACTGGACTACACTGACGCCTAGTTTAGAAATAGGAAGTGAAGTGGTAGAGCACGTTGACCGCTTCACTTATTTGGGAAGTACCATCAGCCTGTGCCAACGGGTTGATCTCTGACGAAATCTCAGCACATATACAGAAGGCTAGTTTCGCATATGCCAGTTTACGCCGTCTCTGGCTTAGTAGACGTGATATCCAGCTGGCTGTCGACCAAAGGGCGGGTGTACTGCTCAGCAGTCCGCTCCGTCCTCCTTTATGGTTGTGAGACCCGACGATTGAGAGTGGAAGACATGAAAAACCTAGCTAGCTGTCTTTGATCATAGGTACCTGCGTTGTATCTCCCGTGTGAAGTGGTATAATAGAGTGAGCAATATTGAGGTTAGGCGTCGAGCGCTAGGTAAGGAGGGGAAATCAATCGACAAGGCTGTGAAGCTACATCGACTGAGATGGTTAGGACATGTGTTACGCATATTTGACTAGTCATCGCCTTCCTCGACAATGGGAAATGTTAGCTGACATAGGGTCAGGCTGGAAAAGAGCTAGCGGCGATCAAACCAAAACATGGCACGAGTCAGTGAAATCCACAAGTTAGTTTAAGCCAGTTACGTAGGAAGGTGTAAACTTCCTGGTTGGGGTCCTCGGGACGGTAGAAAGCAGTGGTTGGAAACAATTGGTGATATGGCTCAAATCGTCGTTTTCAATGGCTGGCGCAGATGCATCCACTCCTTGTGACTCATGATTTCCAATGAAACTGTTTTGTTCTTCGTTATTACTATACCTTTGTCTCACACCTCTGTTTACTTTCTTTATTATGCATTTCTTCTCTTGCTTTGTGTGCTACATGGAGTGTGGCGACTTGAACTGACGCACACCGGTGCAAAGTTCTATGTCGAAAACAGACAGACAGACAATGACAAACAGATACTGGAAAGCTTTAAGCACAGATAACGGTAGCATTATCCTTCGTAACCAGTCCATATTAACCGCTACAATAACAAAGTTATCCTGGCGAGGTTAAACTAAAAAAGACAACCAAAACGAGCTAACCACTCACCTCAAACAACTACTTAGAATTAATCTAACCATAAAACTTGGGCACTATGGTAGAGTATAACTCCATTATGGATCAGATTTTTACTTTGATAAATCACACAGTGTTATAGAGTAATCAGAATTAATGTCGGTGTAGAACTTGGCCACTGTGGTAGGACGCAATTCCACTTTAGATATGTTTATTTTTAAATATTACATAGCACTGCAGTACTAACTACTGGATGACGTTTCAAGCACAATTTATTGCTCATTATCATATACTAATAAACCGAAACTTTGGTGTTCCGCATGGATGTGTGGTCGTGAAAAATGATTATTATGGTTACCATTCATCAATTTACATAATTCAGGATTAGATGAGAATAGAGTCAGATGAAATCTGGTAGAGAACTATAGGTTGTTTTATGGTGCTTACAAATAAACTGATTCCAGCTTTTATTTATTCTGATAATGTCTCATACGATGGTAACCCATGTTACCAGATAAATAAACATGTTGACCAGACCAATACAGAATAGAATTCAATAATTATATTTTTAACAGGGATATGCGCATATCCCTGCATGCTACAAAGCAACGAAAACATTTTGAAGACATATGCAGCATACTGCGCAGTGATTTAAACTAATGATATGCATCATCTCAGACACTACTGAATTACGACTGAAAAAATCACGATAAGTATTTCAGAGCACTGATGATTGAAACATTAGGAAATGTAATTATTTTACTTCCTTACAATGCCATAAAAATTCTGTAATAATATATACGTAGTATAAAGCATGCATAGTGCGAAACTACTGAACGGCATAATAACACTTATGTGGGATTAAAAAATACCATAGGATAATCAGTTACCGGAAAGTAGCACCACGTGTAAATTTACCACCAATACGTCGTGCAGTATTGAACAGTGTCAGCCAACAGAATAACACTAACAAAAGCATAATAATAGTTATATAACCTATTTCAACTCATAATGAAATACTGTAAGCAATCATAAGCACAAAAAGTTCGACAACTTTGGAGGTCAGACAACAACTAGACATCCTATTCTAATTTTATCGGTTGTATGAAAACAGAAGGATTATCTCAAGATTGTCAAGTAAAATTTATAACTGCATACTTATGAAATTTTTTTTAGGGTAAAAAATTATGATCAAAGGTTGTCGTAATGTCTGACGGTAATGTCTTATCTGTTGGAAGAATTGCGTCCTTTCTTGGTTTTTGTCTGGAATGAGGCCTAGGGAAGGTCTTAAATAGGATTGACATCATAGTGTTTAGTAAAACATACCAACTTTCGTCACCCGGAGGTGGGTGCTGCCATTTGCTGTTAAAGTCAGCCGTTTAGAATTATGAGAGACCATCCGATATGTAGATATGTGAGATTTGTTTTTTAACATGTTCTATAGTAAAGCATAGTTCGCTGCTCAGAAGTAACAGCCCCAAAATCCACCTCTACCGAGCAGTGTGACAGTTATTCTGTTTCGGATTACTATCTGTTATTTCTCTTATGTCGAATAAGCACATTTGGGCTGAAGAATATAAAATGTGTACTATTGCATCCTCACACTATTCGAGTACAGAGCCTGCATTTTCTCCAGCATTAAAGGTCTGCTGGTAATTTGCTGGCATAGAAATCTGTGGAAAAGATACGATATATTTCCTGGGAGTATGGAAGTCGAATGTTAAATACTTCAAACGCGTCAGTGACTTGTCCACATTTCTATCCATTTTTAGAAGTGCAGTGTGCAGAGATATTAAATGTGACAGATAAATGCCTTAAGTGTGAACTATTATCACCAGACTTTGCCAGAAGTAGAACTACAATCGCCATCGGTTCCCCCTACAGCATGAAAACAACAGCTCGAGACCACTACCTCCACAACTTAAGATTCACATCCGAATATGAATCAACCCATTGTGCATTGAACGTTTAAAAATAATTTATTCGGTATAAACTAGTGTTTTCTAGAAATGCATGCCATTTTCGCAGGCACGTTCAGTTGTGTTATAAATTTATCCGACATATACTTGGGTTTTTTTGTTAATGCGAAACAATATTTTATATTTTTTATGTGTCCTTGAACACTAATATCAGAATGTACTCACTAACTGATGTAGAAGGACAGCAACCATGTAATTTACTATAAATCAAATTAATTTAAAAAATTATCCCCTTAAATGGTTTCAGGAAATTATTATCATAGATTAATATTATTTCAAAAGCTCAAATTGTTCTATTCTTGTACAAGCAGTCAGAACAGGTTCTTATAAATGTTGAATTGTAAACCCTCCACTAAGGTCACCATCAAAGTTGAGCGACAACCCAAAATTCGTTCCATTCCCTGCTGATAGTTATCGTCAATCAGTGAACAGCGCATATTTGGGTGAGTGCTATGCCGCCACTTGATTAAAAGCTATTTCAGGAAGAGGAGAACATCCTGGGAGACTGAAAATTGGCATAAAATACAATTATGAATAACACATCATTTTAAGTACATTTACAATGTATTAACACGAAGGAGCTGGAAACTCCTTGGATTGATAGTATACATTTGCAATTTTTAATGCCAACCACGGAAAATATGACGTTTCAGATGAAAGTATAGTTTTGTTCAAACATTAGTGTTGTTTTTGTGTTTTTAGTCAAAGCAACCATAATTTAAGGAAGCAACAAATATGAACAAAGAGTAGGTTTTAGACTTATTAAAGGCCTAGGTAGTTAAGATAAAATAGAGTAATATAGTGCATACATAAAAAGATTATCGTGAAGTAGATGGGTGACATTTCAGCGAGAAGTGAATTCAAAGATCTGAAAGATTCGAACCGGAAGGGCAAGCTGACCTGTAAAATGTCTTACGAATTTCTGTAGAGCCCATGGATTGGCATCTTGACAAGAAGCTGGACAGGCTTGTAAGTGTTAGAAGCAAAAGCATTTTTTCATGGATTAGATATGTAAAACCCTTATGGGTTTTTTGTTAAGGATCTGGACTAATGCTTAATTCTATAGCTGTCGAAAAATTTATGTTGCTGTCCTACAGATTGGAGCGGTTCACATATGTGGCCACTACCATATCTGCTGATTAGCATCCACCACGCTCCCTCCTTTTTAATGTTAAGCTCTGAGATTTTTTTGCAGTAACTGTAGTTGCAGCATTGCATTGCTTTGAGCCCGTCCCAATCTTACAGTATACTGTACATTAATAGCTTTCATGACAAGTGCTTCCCATTAGGTCACCAGATACATCGAAACCTGAGGACATTCTTAGCAGTATCACCTGTGTACATACATACATGTATACAAGTATTTGTTACAAAGGACTGGGAAATTAGGTTTCCCTTGAAAATTTATAAAGTATAGAAGTAGTTAGTATTACAGCAACTAAGTTATAGTCTACTTGGAAGAGTGAAATGGGTAGTGGAACAATTAGCGATAAAATTATGTATAATGATCCTGAAGAAAACAGCTGGTCAACAGAACCAGTTACGGTAAATTTTCGTGACCGATTTTCTTACGGTATGCGTCAGACATTGTAAAGTAACCCTTCAACTTATGCTATGTTAAAAATACCGCGAAATATTATAGAATTATACACTTTAGATAAGTATATGAGAAAAGGTAGTTATTAACTGAGTAAAGTCATTTCGACACAAAAAATAGCATTGTATTATTGACTATATATATAAATATTAATAGATGTGGTTGCTAATGTAATTGTTCACAGAGTTACTCATACCAACACAACTTATTGAAGATTACAGAGAATAGAAAATCAGTAAATTAGTTAAACGTTCGCTGCATAAGTGGCAGAGTCGACTAAAACGAAAATGAATGAAAACTGAAGTGGATTCCATTTACCACTTTTCCAACAGATTTGGTCTTTAAAATGAGCTAGGATGAATATGTTAATGTGTTTTTGGTGTGGTTGTGTTCTCTGAGCTGGATGGTTTGGTTGCGAAGCTTTCATTGCTCTACTGAGCAACATCTTCAGCGCATACTTCGATGTGAAGTGAGCTTTTAGAATTCTCTATGAGTTTATTAGTCATCTCTTCTAGTAACCCTGAACGTGATTGGTTGTTTTCGTGTGACATTTCACCCCCTAGTTTGCTTGTCTCGGTGCTGGCCGCTTCTTTGGTCTGAATGTCGTTAGTCATTCCTTCTGCTAACCTTGAACGTGATTGGTTGTTTTGTGTGACTTCTCACTTTCTAGTTCACTTGTTTTGGTGTTGACTGTTTCCTTGACCTGAAGTTTGACTTTGTTTTTGTGTGAATTTCTCCGTATGGATTAGTGTATTTTGTCAATCTCTATGTGTCTATTGATTGCTGATTCATTTGAATACCAGGCCTCTAGGAATTCTCTGGCATTTTTGCAGTTCCCTTTGTCTAAGATTTGAACATTGTCCCAGTCGAATTGGTGCCCGTGGTTGTCTGCATGTAGTGATATGAGGGAGTGTATGTCGTGTCTTTTGACAGCTAGTTTGTGTTCGTGAATGCGAAGACGAAGAGGGCGTCCACTTTGACCAATGTAATGTTTGTCGCAGTCGTTGCAACTTATCTTGTAGATGACGTTAGTTTTGTCTTCTTTTGCCGTTGAGTCCTTTGGTTTACATAGAACTGAGTGTAGTGACTTTATTGGTTTATGAGCGACATCGATTCCAAAAGGTTTGAATAGTCTTGCAGTGATTTCGGAGATATCTTTTATATATGGTAGGATGACTTTCTTTGTGTTTTCGCTGGTGGCCTTTGATTTGGTTGGTTGAGCTGGGGGTAGATGTCTTTTGATGAAGTTTCGTGGGTATCCATTTCTTTGGAAGACGTCCATAAGATGATTTTCTTCAATTTTCCTCAAGGCAAGAGTGCTGCAATGAGTCCTGGCTCTCTTGAACAATGTACGTATGCAGCTAATTTTGTGTGATGTTGGGTTGTTACTGTTGTAATTGAGTATTTGATCCGTGTGCGTTGGTTTTCTGTATACTTGGGTTTCTAATTTTCCTGTAGTTGTTCGTTTGATTAAGACGTCTAAAAATGGGATTTTGTTTTCATATTCTTCTTCTCTTGTGAATTTGATGTCGTTGAAGGTGTTGTTGACGTCTTCCAAAGAAATGGATACCCACGAAACTTCATCAAAAGACATCTACCCCCAGCTCAACCAACCAAATCAAAGGCCACCAGCGAAAACACAAAGAAAGTCATCCTACCATATATAAAAGATATCTCCGAAATCACTGCAAGACTATTCAAACCTTTTGGAATCGATGTCGCTCATAAACCAATAAAGTCACTACACTCAGTTCTATGTAAACCAAAGGACTCAACGGCAAAAGAAGACAAAACTAACGTCATCTACAAGATAAGTTGCAACGACTGCGACAAACATTACATTGGTCAAAGTGGACGCCCTCTTCGTCTTCGCATTCACGAACACAAACTAGCTGTCAAAAGACACGACATACACTCCCTCATATCACTACATGCAGACAACCACGGGCACCAATTCGACTGGGACAATGTTCAAATCTTAGACAAAGGGAACTGCAAAAATGCCAGAGAATTCCTAGAGGCCTGGTATTCAAATGAATCAGCAATCAATAGACACATAGAGATTGACAAAATACACTAATCCATACGGAGAAATTCACACAAAAACAAAGTCAAACTTCAGGTCAAGGAAACAGTCAACACCAAAACAAGTGAACTAGAAAGTGAGAAGTCACACAAAACAACCAATCACGTTCAAGGTTAGCAGAAGGAATGACTAACGACATTCAGACCAAAGAAGCGGCCAGCACCGAGACAAGCAAACTAGGGGGTGAAATGTCACACGAAAACAACCAATCACGTTCAGGGTTACTAGAAGAGATGACTAATAAACTCATAGAGAATTCTAAAAGCTCACTTCACATCGAAGTATGCGCTGAAGATGTT